TCTTGAGTTTATCACACCCACTGTAAAGTTCAAATGAATTCCATTTAGGCCTGATTTTCTTCTTTTTTTTCAAAGTACACAATGATCTCTTCTGATGTGTGCCTAGATACATGTATATGAGAAAATAAGTTTCTTTCAAAATAGTAGTTGGTAAGTGGAGGTAATAATGATTAATCACAATTTATCAACTTTAACAAAGAATTCTTAAGTGTTAAATGTGGAAGTTTCTAAGATTTGTTCGAATGCACCTCATTAGGGAACACTCAGCAGTAATAAAGGTTCAACAGTATGTGTTATGAAGGTGATAGACCTATCACCTTCATAACATACATGTATGTTATAACATATGTACCTACAGTATTTAATTCCATGAATTTTTGAAGTTTTTCAACTGCACCACATTAGCAAACTCCACTACAGAGTCCCTGACTGTGTACATACATGTACATGTAGTTGCCAGGTCCCTAATTTCACCACCTATTTTGAAGTCTGCTCGGCTTTCACAGTAGATGGCAAAATTAGGGGCCTGACGATTATACAGTCACAAATGTTACTGTGACACTAAATTGAATTTAGACAGGGACTCAAAATACACATGTAGTTAATAGGTTGGGGCAATTACATGTTCATGTATAAACATGAACATCCATGTATTGACAGTACATGTTCATCGTACACGTACAGTCATCAACTCTATGTTTTTCAGCAAAGTAAAATGCACTAGCATTGCTGTTGGTAGAACTTGTAATATATTTTTTTTTTGGGGGGGGGATCCCCTGTGGAGTGAATCTGGCTGTCACCTACTGAACGTGTACTGCAGTAATTGAGTCCTTATAAATCACCAATCATGCATGTCCAGCTACATGTACAGTACATGTGTTGGAAAAGGCAAGTCGAGGGGTACAACTTGCATTTTTATGTAAATTATAATTGGCATCCATAAAATACATGTAACTTGAAATATCAGTTGGGTATGAGAAAACTTTCTAAGTTAGGGTTTTGGACCTTTGCTGATAAACTGAGGGAGAAGAGACCAACCATACCAGAAGCTCAACCCAGTACAAAATCCCTATCTTTGCTGCACAGTTTTACGTCTTTCCATCCATATTTCATGTTGAAAACGGTATCCAGACAGGCACAATTTGTATGCATCAATTCATCCTGCATGTGAATGTCAGAGTGTGTGCTATGTACCGGAACGTGTACCAGCAAGTGTAAATAACAAAAGTCTATGCAACAGAGGTCAATACCGTACATGTATTTGCGTAGTGAGCTAATATTGGTAAATGCAAAGGTTAGTGTGTGTTCATCCAAATGGTGACCACACATCGCATGTTTCTTGTATGCTGCACTAGCCCAGTATTGGCTATTAGCTAGTATTAGATAGTATTGCTGCAGGCTACCTCCAAGCAAAGTGGGCGGCATTCGTATTCCAACTGGTATGTCTGTTTAGCTTAATCATTTAAATTGAAGTGACAGTACATTATTTGCCAGCCTCAAAATGCCCTAGCAGTTAAGTACCATTTTTGTTTTTTGTGTTTTGCTCATTAATCTGCAAAACTCTGCCGGAGTATTCTCTGTTGACAATCATTGACAAAATAACTTAAAATAGGAGGGGTTCTCTCCTTTGTCCAGCCAAGCCTTATGACCACTGGGTCAGTTCATGGCCTTGGCACAGATACATGTACATGTAGGGGTCAAAGGTAAGGGACTTGTAGCATTCAAGTGTCGCCAACATAGAGATCTTGTGCACATCCAGTGAGATATCATTTGACAACATTAGCAGTGTTTGCTTTTAAAGATAAACCCACCCCATGATCTGGTTGTGAACACCAAAACATTATAAGAATTTAGAAGAGTCTGGAGGTGATAGTTTAATTCATTGTTGTCAAAAAAAGAAAAACATACACGTACGTGTACCTTGGTTGTGTGAATTTCTGTTTAGAAAAACATTTGATTGAAGAGGCTCAAATGTGTCGTAAGATAAACATGTATGTACAGGAAATTCACATTACTATTGAGATCACGATTAGTGTTTGTTTGGGTTGAACTGTACCGGTACATTGCAACAATTAACGGTGAGGAGAACCATTTGAGCACCAGTCTAGTTCAGTTGTGCTAAACACAGCATTTCAGGGGGTACATGTGTGTATGTAGAGCCTTGATATACATGTACATGTACATGTAGCTTCACTCATAGCATGTGTTCATTCTGCCATGCTCAGAGGTACAATTTGCTTGACCTCTTGGAAACTCTAGTTTGTAGAATCTAGAGACCTCCATCAGCATTTTCATAAAATATACACATGTACATGTACTTGTACTTCTTTTCAGTAGAATCTCGTTTTGTTTTTAAGGTTGCTTGTTTAATTCCGCTTCATTTTTCTTTTGTCCATTTTATTCAGTGGTTTACCGCATGAGGTATGCTGCATAGGATTTTACCAGCTCTCATCTGTGTTGTGTCTGAAAGATCTGTGTTCCATCATCCACGTGTGTTGTCCTCCCTGACGGTCTGTCTACCGTGCAGTGCGTGCTTCCATCAAAGGCATCGTCACCTTTCTAATGAGGTACATGCAAATGTGTGCGTATTGGACCAGCTGCTAGTTGAAATAATGTTATGGATAAATTTTTGGAATAAACTGATAATTGAAGTGGATTTAATTGAGGTTTTACACAGGGTATGGTACATGTATTTTGTATTCAAGACCTGAAGACGCACCTGGTACTCACTGAACCACAAAGACAGAAGAATGGCAGAATAAGTTACATACAGGTTTTAATTTTTCTTATAACATCAAAAATGCTTTCACAAGTCTATAATGTACATGTAAATTAAAATGTAAATTGACAAGTTTATGATGTAAATTCAACTTACTTCTAAGGATACAGTAGATCATCCTATTAAAGTGGTTTATTCACAAGAGCCAATGCATGATTACATGAGGGACACTCTCTATTTACACACCACATGTGTAAAGCAGCACGCATCAGGCGGCACATGCAGTAAGCAGTTTTCATCTGACTTAGCACAACCATAACATCTGTGCTTGGATCAGACTGTTTGGCATTCAGGTGTGTGTTATATCCTCTATTTGTTGCAGTTGAGGGAATGCCCACATGCTTTTATTTACATGGACTTCAATCAAATATGTGTTTGTTCTAATAGTTAACCCCTTCATTTTGATCAATTTGATGCATCGTGAAGTACATTGTATACAATTCTGACAAGTACCGTATGATGAGAATGAGATTGAAATTACATGTAACCCCCCCGTAGCTGTACCCTTCCGTACCATTGTGTCCCACTGCAAGGTGTAATTTGTTACCTGTACATTGTAAAGGTATCTGTTCAGATTTGCAGGTGAGGTCCTTCTCTTTGCATGAAAAAAATCCTGAAAATCCAAGTTCTGCTTTTTGTCAGGTCTAATTTATTTCTTTTTTCAGGGAAATTACTAATGTATTCTGACTTACAGTACAGTAATGAACCAGTTAACTCACTTCACAGCAAACCTAGCTGTGTGTAATGTATATACTGTGCCGTGTTTCAAAGACTTTTTCTCTGCTCCAACTCATCGATGAGAGAGAAGCAGCAGCGTATTGTAGAATGAGAGAATCGAGGACTTTAATTTGTTATTTCTTGGTTACTTTCAAGATTTCTCGGGGTTTTTATTTTTCAGACGAAAATGACATCCCATGGACCTGCAAAAAGACTGGCTGGGCAAAAGAAAAGTGTTTGGTAACTGTCTGTGTTCATGTCATAATTGATGGGCTGAGAGTCAATGCTAATGTTTGCTTGTGTACTTTTGAACTGATGCCATCCATCTTGCTTCTCCCTCTGAAGATATGCCATCATTGTGGAAGTTTATGTCGAAGCAAACAGACGAATATAGTCCCAAAATGGCTCACGTTATACCTACACTGTACATGTTATGTACAGTAATTTAGGATAAAATAACGACAGTTCTTAGTCAGTATGGGGGATTCACAATATCGCACCACCAAGAGTTTGCAACGCGTTGGCCAATCATAATGCGCAGAATTTGTCAACCCTTTCCAAACGCTCATTGGGTCGACAAATTTTGCGCTTTGTGATCGGCCAACGCGTTGCAAACTCTTGGTGGCGCACTATTGTGAAACGGCCGTATTGTGACAGCCCTGGAACTGTGGATGTTGGAGGATTAAGAAATGTTCCAAAACTTAAGATTGGTATCTTGATTTGTTTGAGTCACTCAATTGACAAACATGCTTTTTCTCTGTTTCTTTTGTTGGAGCACTTCACTGGTTTCTTGTTACATTGCGCATTCTTATTTTACATGTTTTAATTTTGGTGAACAGGACTGAGTTTGTCAAACTGAGCTCCGAGACCAAAGCCATCAATCTTGGTCAGGTTAGTATGATTGGAGACAAACTGATATATTGTATCAGCAATGTGCTGTTTTGCTCACGGTCTCAAGGCATGAAGATCATTGTGTTTATTGCAGGGGGAAAACAAGACAAAATCGGCCATCTTTACTCTTGTTTATGCTGACAAAACTCTTCAAAATTGCTACAAAGCAAAGATGACAGAACTATTTTACAATTGAAGTTAAAAGTCTTGATTCTGAATAGAAGTGAGCTCTATGTAGGAGTGAGTAAAGCCAAGTTTTGATTCTGCCAGTCTGTTTTCTGGTTTTGCATACTTTAACTGTTAGGAATTTTCAGTTTTCAAACAGGACTATGTGCTCATAAAAGCTGAAAACAACAGGTGACAGGATCCTTCATCTCATGAGAGTTTTTGTGTTTTCTGTTCTGCTGTAGGGGTTCCCTGATTTTGCTGCTCCAGACCATGTCAGGAAGGCCCTCATTGATGTAGCAACCAGCTCCAATCCTCTCCTTTTTCAGTATACAAGAGGCTTTGTAAGTCTGGCCATCAGACATGATTTGCATTTCATGTGTTGGGGTTCCAAGGCTAAAACCAGTAGTGGGCCGGTTTTGGTGTGAATGAGTTATGCACAACTTTTTGCACAACTTTGTTATGCCAGTACGATCTGATTTGATGTGACTCTTCGTAGTTAAGGTTGAACTTTGATCTCGTTCACCTAATCAAAGATTTAGCACTGCCCATCTTTTGGTATTGTGTCTAATTGTTTTTTGCACAGGAATTTTGTTGCCATCTAGGGAAGTTTATTAAAAATGCAAGTTACTAAAAACAAACACTTTATGCATTTAGTGGGCAACCAAATTGTTGACAAAAATAAACAAAGCAAGAACAAAGTAAAACAAATAAACAAATCACAACCACAAGCAAAACCTACAACCCCACCTTAAAAATACCCTAACAGTTCATTTGCAGAAAAAGTGTATTGTACATGTAAAACAGCCTGATTACAGCGAGGGTTTTAAGATCTCCGTACATCTTTGGGGTGTAGTGCTTAGTGTTTGCAGTATGGCCAACTGAGTTTACGTTTAAGCCTAACAGCGTATGTTTTTGTGTGGGATGCCTCTGTACATTCTGTTTTTGCTGTGATTAGAACATTGCATGGTCATATGGCAACCAAGGTAATGTAGTTTAAATTGTTATTGCAGAGAACAAAGGCTTTCATGACATGAAATGTAGTGCCTCACATGTAGATTTGTACATAACCATGAGCGGATTTGGCATTTTGGGCAGGGTCATCCCAGGATGGTGAATGCCATAGCAGCATTGTATGGGAAGCTGATGGGACGAGAGATTGATTCCATGGAGGAGGTCATGGTCACTGTTGGTGCCTATCAGTCACTCTTTTCCATCTTTATGAGTCTCATCAGTCCAGGAGATGAGGTATGAGAGAGATTGATTAGTGAGTACTTAGTGTTCAGGTTGGCCTCAGAAAGCAAGGATGGGACTGAATAGGGCTATGACATACATGTAGTTGGATACTCAAATCCAGATTTTCCTACCTTGCTGAATTTTAAGTTATTACCCAAAGCCTAAAATGATTGAGACCTTTTCTGAAATGAAAGTGCATTGCACCATTTCATTCATCAGTTGTTGATAATTAAAAAATAATTTTTAATGCCTCCCAAATCATTTCAATAACTTGCTTACTCTTTCCCTGGAATATAACCTGTGCTCTCATAAACTCAAACATCAATAGTGTGAGAAGGTAGTGTCTTCCCCAGTGGAATGAAGCCAGTTTTGAGTTGTTGGACAAACCAATAGGCCCCCTTGCAGCTGGTACATGTACTTGGGAATGGTTCCTTTTACATGGCAAGGAACCACAAAAAATGAAGTCCAACCTCTATTTATATTTAGGCAGATAGTCATACTACGTGCTTGGTGATAATGATGCTTTTGGCTTCTGACATTACCTGAAGCTGGTGTTGGATGTTGATGCATTCTGCACATAAATTTAGAATTTGATAGAATTCGAGCCTTTTTTTTTGGTATGAAGGTCGAAACTGGTGATCTCAAATTTCTTTGAGCTCTCATTGGAGAGATCTTGACTGGTGACCCGGGGATTGGCACCTTACATTATTGTGTCAAAGAGATCAACCATTGCCGGTACCCTTGAAAAGCCATGGTGGCTACAAGGGTAGCCTTTGTCTGGAGGATCACAAGCTCCCCCCTTCTGCTACATTGTATTTTCCTATCTCCCCTCCAGTTTTTTGGTACCTGCCAAAATCGTGCGGCTTTCAGTATTGATTCCTGGAGTTTTCGGTCGTCCGCATAACAGAGCTTCAACGTTGAACTCACGCTGCACACGAATACAAATAGTAGTAGCCAGTACTGGGGCAGTCATGTGTGACATGACAGCCCCTGTATCTGATGCATGTCTAATTCTCATGGCATAAAGGGCATTTAGGTTGCCGTACATGCCATTAACCAACCAACCAACCAGCCAGAGTAGCCTTTATTCAAGGCGATAGTAGCAACAAATGTAACCCACAAGAGCAGTAAGCACAGTGCGTGAAGAGTCCATGTATTTACAGCCTGCTGCAGTAAATGCCTTTTACCAACACATTTCCAAGGCCTCGTGCTGATTAACTCAGTAGTTTGAACTATTCCAATGTGATAATTTCTCTTGACCAACCACTCAGCGCAGCAGGTTGCCATCTATGCAGATGTAATGAAGTCCAGGAGATACCAATTAATAGAGTGGCACTGCATTGAAGCATACATCCTCAACTTGAGGTGTGGCTACCTTTTGTTAAGTCACAGCACCTGTGCCCCACCTGCAGGCCAGAATGGTGACTACATCGACAAATTCTAACTCTAATTTAGTATTTTTACTCTCAAAGTGGTCCAAGTGAGATATCTGTCCCAACATGGCAAAAGAAATTAAGAAACACTTGAGCTCAGGAAAAGTGAGTTGGTAAAGGAGATCGTGGTGGCAGATGGTGAATCCAGTAATCATGTGCTACATGTAGATCTTCCTCAAGCAGTATGTATGCCTTGTGTAGGCTTAAATATAATGACCACAGCCTTGACCGAAGGTTAGTACACAGGAAACTTACCTGTGGCTGATGGTGGTAGACCGGGTAGCATTTTGTTAGCTCTAAGTTCATATGTGCATATTTTAGATGTGACTATGAAAAGTATGCTCATGAAATGGTAAATTTATCAACTTTTTAAGGCTTTTATTTTGTCAATGTACATGTAGGTGATCCTTATTGAGCCATTTTTTGACTGTTACGAGCCCATGGTGCTGATGGCTGAGGGTACTCCCAGGTTTATTGCATTAAAACCCGTAAGTACAGTACATGTATACAGTAGCCTTCATGGTATCTGCATGCTCTCAGAAAGACACTAATTGAAAGCATCCAAAATTAGATCATTTCTACAAATTCTTTTGAATAAAAAGCTGACAAGAACACTGATTTGATGGTTGTTAATGCTTTTAAATCTAACCGAGTGTTTCAGTTGAGAGTTAGGTACATTTAGGTGCATAAAGTATTAAAGCTTGTGAAATCACTCTCCAGTTATGATTTTCCCCCTCATTACAGAAAACCGACAATCCAGAATCAGCCGAGGATTTTGAATTAGACCCAGAGGAACTGTCTGGATTGTTCAATGAGAAGACCAAAGCCATAGTTGTCAACACTCCAAACAACCCCCTTGGAAAGGTATGTTGTATAATGGTCTGAAAAACAAGTTGACCTACATGTAGCTTAGCTCACCCAGGTGCAGGGTGGAGCCTCAGAGAAATGTTTCCAGATACCTTGAAAGGTTTTAAGAGGTTTGGAGTGTGCTTGTTTGTATATAAATACCAAGTGTAAGATTCCCACAATCCTAGAACTCGTGTCTTGTTAGTCATTAAATCCTAAAGAGCCTGAGTATTGAATTGTCATTAAAACCCCTAGCTCTTCATGCCTTAATCTCCACCTTGCAGCTTGGCCATGTCATCATTGATTTGTATGTGAGTGAAGTGTAGAACAGTTTAAACATACTTGTGGCCGGGTGTGGGGACTACATATGTGTTCAAATAAAGATGTCGTGGAGACGAAAAACATTACAGGGACAGCTTTTTGTGGCCACAACTTTCGTCTGGAAAAGACATTGCCCCTTTAATGTGGGAAAAAGCCTACCCATGGTTGTCCTCAAGCGTTTTCAGGGATCCAGACAGCATTCTCTGGCTGCAAATGTGACTCACTGTAATTACCAGGCTAGGAAACCATCACCACGTGGAGGTAACTTGATGGTATAAACACATATTTTTTTGTAATTTATTTTGATTGTAATTTCCAGGTTTACAAAAGGAGCGAGTTGGAAATGATTGCCAATCTATGCAAGAAACACGACACACTGTGTATCAGTGACGAAGTCTACGAATTCATGATCTACCCAGGCCATGAGCACATCAG